GGTAGCACAGCCCGACGGATTCGAAATTCAATTGGCGGAAGCTCAGACGGTCTCTCAGCCTTGTTCGTTCGCACGCTGAGACGATGCGATGGCAGCCCTGCGCGGTTTGAGATGTGGGTGTCTTACCGTTGGACTATGGGCTCTGAGAGTGGGTTTGATGGAGAAGTGGGGGGTTGGAGCGGTGGTATCGACTCGTCAAAAACATGGACTTTTGATTTATACGGCATATAGAGACAGACGGTCTAACAGTGCCTGTTACACCCTGCGGGGAAACTCCCACTCCACCCTGCAAGCTTCACCAGCTCGCACGCCACGACGTATATTTAACGAGGATAGCAAACAACAGCCACACTACCAGCGCCCCACCACCGACATTCTAGACAACGCATTAGCACACAAACGCCCCAAATATACTGTCGGTACATACCTGATTGGATCTTTCTCCCCTTAGAGTCAGCCCAGTATTCACACCAACCGCTTGTCCTGTAGTTCCTTGTGTTCATCGTGGTACAGGCTTCGTGCACCGAGACTATATAAACGGTTAGAATATCTTCCATGCTTGTTTTTCTGAGATGAATTGACTTACTACCATCGATGTTGTAGGCTTTGTTGTTCGCAACCCAGACCCCGTTTGCGTCTTTCGTCCACGCAGAACAGTAGCCTGCGAGGGCGAAAGGGAGGGCGAGAGTAGTGAAGCGCATGTTCGAATGGGCGTGTTGGTAGTGTGCTAGAGGTTATGGGAGATGGACATGGATACTTCTTCTTTCGTGGCCGTTCTGCGTCTTCTTATACTTGGGGACTGAAGGTTGCCCAGGTGCATCGTCCGTCGCTTGTGGAGCTGCCAAGATGGGGCGTATCATTTATGTACGCCTTCTTGGCCTACGCGGTGCCGGTGAACGTGTGGGTTTCTGGAGTACCTAGGTAGTTCTGTGTGAGGCTGCGCATAGTAAGTAAGCTTGCCTGAACCAAATTTGAGTTAGTGTCGTGGGCAAATGTGGTTTAGATCGCTGCGTTGCAATTTGCCGAGTTGATATGATGGTCATCATTGGTTCCGCTTCTTACCTAAGTACCGATGATAAACATAGACGTCTACTCCTAGAATAGGCCAGCTTGGTCACAGCACACTTATGCCCTGCATCCAACGTCCCGTTGGGCGCCCGAATTGCTCAACGTGTGCTTCAAGACACAGATATGCGGCTGCTAATATACACCTCTACCCGTCTAAGAGAACTAACAGCTAGTGCTCTAGCAGCCTTCTAGCGAGCTACTCGCGCACGATAGTCAAGCTCCGAGGTTCCTCACGACATGATTGCAAGCACAGGAAAGAAATACTAGTATGCGTATCAATCTTCATTAGGTATCATCATCCAGTCGAGATCGCTCGAGCTGACTATATAGTAGTGAAGCTCCTTCACGTCACAATACCTGTCGTGGCAATACCGCAGTCGCTCGCTATCTTCTCACAATGCCTGCACGCCCAGACGCATCGTATATTAAGCGCCAAGTAGATCCCATACCACATTCTTCCAAACAACTCCGAATGATCTCGGGTGCCTATGCCGCCCTCGCGTTAAGTCATTTTGACATCAGTCTTCAGTTCCCAGTACCTGCCATCAATCAACGCAGCCGCCAAAGCCGAGGCGCGCTTCGTCATTTCCGTCTCCCCGGTCTCTATGGTCATCTTCGCGACGCCGCCATGACATTCGAACTTTCCAGCCCAGACATCTGGCCACTTGGGTGCGGAGTAGGCATTACTGGCAGTGACCTTCAAGTGCCAAGAGCCGTCGTAGCCGATGAGGAAGCCGGCGACGTGTTCGAAGCGGTACGCCTTCATGAATGTGTGGTTCTCGAAGGTGCCAATCTAGAGGGGTGTCAGCGACTGTATGCTTGGTGGTGTACGTGATGACCTACAAAGACTTCAAGGCCCTTGCGCCATACGACGAGCTGAACGTCTTTCTTACCGAATACGGCCTTGAAGGTGTTGACAGTTGGACTGACAAATGACTTGAGCGTGGCTGGTGAGATGTTGAAGAGAGCGGTGACAACAGCATCTTGGAGCTTAAGAGCGCCGTCTTCTTTCATGGAGGCGGCATACTCGCAAAGATCGAGGATATGAGCATGGCTGGTTGGACCACTTGAGGGCAGGGTCTCGAAGTCATCTGTATATGAAGACGTGCTATTATCGCTCTTGCCAGAGTCACTCTTGCCCGGCGATTCGGGACTGAGGTCGGTGCCAGCGGGGGATGGAAGACCGCTGTTTTCGATGTCGATCTCCATATGAGTGCTGTCGTGATGAGTAGTCATTGTAGCGGTGCGGTTGACAGATTGTGAGAGATCTCGTGTGTCTTGTCCGGGGCGGTTGTCAGAGTCAGAAGGTTGTAGCTGCAAGCGTCTGAATCTCGTAGTTACCGGCATGGTACAAGATATATGGGTACAACAGTTGGGCGCGCTAGCTTCCGGTGAGCGATGAGATCTATGAAAGAGGAGTTGTGAGCATGAAGTCTGACGAGGAGCGATGAAAGATAATGGGTGAAGAGGCTGTTCTGTGTGAAGCGTGTAGGCGTTTGCCATGCGGGTCACACTAGTAGCGCTAGCGGGCGAGGTCGGTGAGAGCTCATGGAAGGCGCGATGGTGAGGAAAGAGACGACGTACCGATTATCGCACATGGCTCTAGTAAGTGTTGAGTGCAAATGATAAGAATGTCTTGAGCAAGTGATGTTGTCGCAGGACAGGAACAGTCGGTATGCAAGGTTTCGTTCGCGCATTGACAAAGGCCAGGTGAGATGAAAGAGCGTTGACGATTGAAACGTAACCTCGAAGACTAACGCATTGCTAAGTACAATGCCATTATTCTTTCTTGCCTTCATTCACGGCCTGTTAATACGCATTCGTGTTAGTCACGGACTTGTGAGATAGTGTTTCAATGGATTGGTGTTGACTGCTCTAGAATTCTGTGAGAAAACGCACTTGAATAGCCGGTCGTTAAGCTTCTCTTCCTCTCTCAGACACATGAACTAGTTTAACCCAATGCTCAGAGCATGAGAACACAGCCTCCATGAATATGGAGATACATCAATCAGCCATGGTGGTCTCGATGTCCCATTTGGAACCTGCATCGGCGCTCCGACACCTTTCCATGATGATGTAATCGCTCAAGGTGCTTGCATACTCTGCCATCTCTTTTTCGTCGCCAGCGCCCAACTCTCGGCTGGTGCCGATATACATAGACGTCTCAAAACATGACTGTTTATACTCTCGCTCAGTTACTCTGCCGTGGCTGACAGAGTCGAGACCCCAAGATCCGTCGTAGTTGATAGTGCAACGAACGAGGTTACCCCACTCTAGATAATCCTCTTCCTCGTTCTCGATGAATTGACCAATCTGAAACGTGAGGGCGATGTAAGCATGTATCTTGATGACGTCTATTCTGTTTCGTTCGGGTCACGTACCAGAACCTGAGTTCCCTGCCTCCAGATGATGAGCTGCCAGTTGATTCGTCTTTCACACGATTGAACGAGCTTGAACGAATCTGTGACGCCGCTGAGGAACGTGTCTAGGGTGTCCTTGGAGATCTTGAACAGCATAGTGGCCACTGCATCTTGGATCTTAAGATCGTACTCTTCATCGCTCTCGATCAGGGTCTCCCTGAAGGGGCCCGCGTCGATGATATGGGCATGGGTGGAGGGTGAGTGCGCGGGCAGTCGCTCGTAGACGTTGAGAAACGGTGCGGTGAGGAAGTCGGGCTTGGGGGTGCCGCCATCAGGGTTTGTAGATTGTTTGGTGAGGCCGAGGTGTTGTATGGAAAGAGAAGATTGGTTCTAGCTAGTTTGATTATGCGAGAATACCCCGCTTCTACGGATTATGGACAGCCTTGGGGAAACCTAGCCTGTGGCACGTGATCTGGTAAGTCAGTTGGCGATCTAGATTAAGCAGGCATACTCACATGGCCAGCCGTTAGCCTTACATTGATGGGCAGTCTATTCTTTTTGAGAGCTTAAGCCAAATCATTTGGAGACGGTTGGATATGAAAGCACACCGAAGTTACGTCAGTGATCTATGAATCCGTGACATCATTTGAGAGCCAAATAAAGCTCTCGGCATCCAAAATGTGTAACGCGATATCTCTTGCACTCAGTTACTTGACTGACAACAACATGTCTCTAAAAAGTTCTGATCGTACAATCCCATTGATCGTCGTCCCAATACCTGCTTACCAATAAGTAGTCAGAGAATTTCCTAAGCAGAGGTCCCCTCGTTGGGTCTCCTTCCGTAGTCCTGTGGGGAGCGATCGAGAATCCACCACTGGTCGTATTTCCCGCCCAGACTTCGTCCCAGCTCTGTGGAAAACTGTCGCGATGAGCTGCATATGTTACCTTCCAGGCTCGGTGCGAATCAATAGTAAAACGGATGATTGTGTCGAAGTCAAACAGATTTCGTGATGTATCAACGGTATACTGACCGACCTAAAAAGGATTTCTTAGTGATGTGTATTCTTACAGTCTTTGATGGGTCGTGACTTACTACAACCTCGTTTCCTTTCCTCATGACGATAACACGAGCGCCGCGAGGCTCGAGCCTGGGTTTAAACTCGATTCGGGACGTCCCCGTACACGCGAGGAAATCGAGAAGAGTATTGCTGGTGACCGCGTTAAGAACCGTGACGACTGCATCTTGTATCTGGATATCTGTAACAAAATCGCCCTCGCTTACTTTGTGGGAACCCAGGTCGATGATGTGAGGGCAATCACGTGGAGCAGTCGAGGGAAGAACGGGACAGCTGTCGACAAACTCGATCTTGTGAATTTCAACCATCGTGCTTGAATAAACTGGAACAAGTCTGCTGGCAGACGGGTAGGTACTTGTATACAGGAAAACCTTATCTGCTTGCTATAGAGAGCGTGATCTAAGGTGCCGCTTGCTTGGAGCACAAACGTGATTAAGATACCCATGAGGCTATCGGAAGCTGTATGTCGTCATCATAGTATACGTTGCATCCGAATTTAGCTATTCCCCATTATCCTGCGCAGCATCAGCACCTCGTGTTTTGTGACGAAGACGCTGTTAAGTCCCACCGAAGCATCAGTGGGCGACTGCGACCCCATGTTGTCAAGCGCATCGACCAGATCACGCACCTTTGCGCCCTCCCAACCTCCCTTGTCATCGGTCCAGAAAACGCGTTTGATGCCCACAGATGACATGTACGATATGCATCGGTAGCAGGGTCGCGAAGCCAGGACGGTCGGTTGCTTCTCGTCCTTTTTTGGAGGCGGCGGGTGCTTGGTGCGTGCTGGCCTCGCCGGCTCTGGACTGGTGAGCTCCTCGTGCAATGAACCTGTGGCAGGGCGTGATGGAAGTAGCGTCGCGGCGTCTTCGTCTGGCTCTTCGCAGCACACCTTCGGCGCACACTGCCAGCCCAGTCTTACGACGTACAGATCGGCTCCATTCAAACGTGGGCTCTTAGTTTTGTCTTTGAGATTGCGAGAACTCCGTCCAGTCTGTCCCTTCGGCATGAGCATTGGCTGACTCCTGGCGGTGGGGGGATTCTGTCTTTCATTCTGTGGCCGTCAGCATGTGTGATAACAGAGCTTGGACAACGCACCTTTCCTGCTTTATCACGATTATTGGATGACACTTCCGGCGACGAAGACGCTTCAAAAGCGCTCGATGTTGGAGACTGGTTATAGCATGGAGCTACGACGGTTTGCTTACGCGCATGTTGTCGACCAACGTGTTTGTGTTGTCCACCGTTGTACTTGTTGCCAACGTTGTGATGATGATTCTTCCCTTTCTTCTGACGGTGTTTCTCCGTACTGTTCATTTTCGACGAGGCCACGTTCTCGTTCTTCTCCTGGTCGTGAAACACAGGGTTCAGTGTCGCGCGATCCAGATGCAGAGGATTCAAATCGCCACTCTTGAACACCAGACTGGGCACTGTCATAGGCCGTGGTGGACTGGGCCAGTGCGGCCTCGCAGATGGCTTTGACGTATGAGTTGATTGCTTCCCTTCGTAGTCGTGACTTTCGTTTAGAATCACCCGATAGTTTAAAGCACGGTTTTTCGGAGGACACCGCGCTAGAAGCCAGCGTGCTGGAAGCCGAGAGAGCAGAGTGAATCGCCATCATCTCGCTATGCATAGATAACGGAGTGTTGGCGAGCTTTCCTCCCCCGCCCATGCTTTCAAAGGGCGTAAACGTCTTATTCAGATGGCCTTCCGGTATGCCTAACTCTCGCTTAGTGGAGGAGCGCAGTGGGAGGCGCCCGGTCTTCAGGGCACCACCATCGAAGCCAGAGCGATGATCATTGTAGCCCTGACCAATGACTTTACCGCCACGAACAATGATGGCTCCATGCCGGTAGCGCAAAGGCGACTTAGCGGCCTGCTCGAGGCAGAGGTTAAGGTAATTGTCAGTCTTCATTTTGATGGACGATGCAGATATGACTGGACTTTCGACGATGTTGTTAGAAGCTGGTATTGTGATCGAGTACTGTGGATGTTTGGTTTTTTTCGTGATGAATCTGATAACAGGGTTGGATTTGGCAGCTAGTAAGACGTGTTCTGGATGCACAAGGAAGCGTGGGTATGAGTCTTGACGCGCAAGGAAATGGCACCCGGGTTAGCGTCTTGGCAACTCTCAAGCTTCACGCGCTCTTTCCTCTTCACACCTCCATCGCAGACGAATGCGTCATCGTCGAATCGCAGTCAGCCTGCGCAACCCTATGATTTATACGAAAGTTATTTTATATACAAAAAGTCCCAATGATCAACAAGCGGACGCCTACTCGGCCCAGACAACCGCGCTGAGACCGTCCTCGTTTTCCGGAATGCCGGCAGCCCCGATCCTAAGGTCCGCAACGCGCTCTCCCAACTTGCCAGTCGTCGGATCCCTTGGTACGATAGCTACGTTTGAAGTGGTTTGATCGCCAATGGCGACGAAGTCACCGGCCTTGTTGATATCGAAAGTACGCGGGTACGTGCCATAGGATGACGTGAGGGCTGTCCATGTCAGGCTTCCGTTAGGAGAGATGGTGAATTGGGTAATGGAGTCGTTCGGCCTGAACTTCTTGTCGTTTCGGTTGCTGGTGTAAACGAAGTTTCCCTTGACCTTGATCTCACCGACCTTGGTGCCGGAAACGGCGGTGGCATTGCCTTGGTACGGTGTGAGCGTCTGCTTCAGGGTCAGAGACATGCAGCCTCCCGATGCAGGGTATGACACCGCCCATGCCGACACGCTGTTGGAGAGCTCGTTGGCGATGAAGAGTACTGTGCCGTCTGCAGCCCGGCGAACGCGCGAGTTCGCTCCTGCCGGCGCCCAGAAGGCGCCGTGCCTTGGTCCTGTTCCAGGTGGCGGCAAAGCAGCACCGCACTCTGTAAGATTGCCAGTTGTTTGGTCGATCTTGTTGATCCTGATCTTATCGGTTCCGAGATCAGGTACGATCAAGAAGTCGCCAGACGGGTCCACAAAAGCATGATGCGGGTGGGGAGCTTCTTGGCGGTAAGGGTTGACACTTTTACCAGTGTACTTGATTGTCTGAAGCGGCTGTCCGCCGTTCAATGGCAGCTTGAAGGTTGTCAACTGCGAAGTTTGGCTTTCGGTTGGTTAGCAATATCTTTGTCTACTAAAGGGCTGCTGACTTACTAGTGGGCATTGGCGATGAAGCTTCTTCCATCCGGACCACCATAGAGCGTTGTCGCAACCACACCTTGAGGTGTAGAGCCCTTTCCGATTGAGGTCACGTTGCCGTTCGCACCCGTGGAGAAGGATACCAAGTTTCCGCCTCCTTGCCCCTGGAAGACCTCATCTGGAATATAGAGCGCCTTTCCAGCACTGTCGTACGTAATCCAACTAGGCAGCTTATTGCCAGTAGAAGCCGAACTACTGAGAGTCAAGGCATTGCTGTTGAACGACAGGTAGTTGATGGTGCCGGAGTAGTGCGTCGCCCACAAGTTTGCCGCACTTGCGGCCGTGCCGAACAGCGGTAGAAGGAGTGAATGCGAATGGACCATGATGATTGTGGTTTGCGAGTCAGGGTGTATCTGTTACTGACTTTGAAGCACAGGGAAGTAGCATCGTTTTGTATGTTCGACGTGTGTTCTTTGACATTTCCACCAGACCGCCTTGCGTCACGCGCCCGCACTCGACATTTCGGAGCTACGACGATGAAACACCTGACTACACCCTCTTGGACTAAACAACCGACTCCATCATGCGTTTTGCTGAAAGCGAGGGTGCCACTTCAGCCTCGGTGAGTATGCGATTGTCCAAGCCGGTTAAAGGCCGCACGTCGGACAATATATAGCAATCTACAGCCATGTTTCGAGCAGGGGTACAACGTTTCAGCCGGTTGCCGACCCCAGGTTGATCAACATGGCGAAATTGCAGTAGCCTTGCATTTCGGTCTTTCATCTCGGGCACGCGCATGTTAAGATCTCTTGGCCAGGCCTTATACCGGGAATGCAGCCGCCACGCCGCTGCCCTATGTCGGTACGTGGATGCGGCTGCAGCGCACCTGGACACGTGTGTGGGTATAGACGAGGTGGCATCTCTTAATCTTTCTGCGACCAATCTTTGCCAAGAGGTAAATCAAGCTGAAGCCACCGCTTCTTGGTATAGCCGTAGCTTGGAAGTTGTCGTGCGATGGGGGCAAGATCTGTTATTACCAGTACCAAATCCTCTTGGAATCCCCACGATTCCGACGAAGGATCCAAGGAAAGAGCAAGGTTTCCACTCTGGGCATTCTCATCCCTTGATCGCAGTCATGTCTCCTGGTCAGACATGTTTTCTGGGTCTTCAGCCGTAGTGTATTGGGTCAATATGTATCTCATCATCAGAATCCACCTACAGGATTCAAGCAATCCATAAGTATCGCGAGGACGTTAGCGGATGAATTTTTCCTGGGCAGCCAAGCCACTTTCCGACTTCCAGAATGATGAAAGAATACTATACATGGCTGTTTGCAGCCTGCGCTCTCTTCTCTTGCACTACCGCTGCGAATTCCACATTGAGCGAATGCCTTGAGTCTCGTCAGGTTCCTGTATATGCTGCAGGCACCAAGAACTATACTCAGGCGGTCAAGCCCTTCAACCTTCGTTTACCATTCAAGCCGGCTTCCTACGTTGTACCACAAACAGTCAAACAAGTCCAAGATGCCGTATCCTGCGGGGTTGAGAGTGGTGTCCAAGTCACTCCGAAGTGCGGAGGCCACAGCTATGGATCACATGGTCTTGGAGGCGAAGATGGACACTTGATAGTCGACATGCGCCGCTTCAACAGTGTCACCGTTGACCAAGAAGCACACACAGCTGTCATAGGAGCTGGTGGTAGACTGGGCAACATTGCTCTGGCTCTTTACGACCAAGGCAAGCAAGCCATCAGTCACGGAACATGTCCTGGGTAGGTCCTCATCCTCATCATCAACATCATATATGTACTAACACTTTCCAGTGTTGGTGTAAGCGGTCTCACTCTTCACGGAGGTTACGGCATGTCATCTCGCCTGCACGGCCTTACACTCGACCAACTTATCTCTGTAACTGTCGTCCTCCACAACAGCAGCGTAGTAACCGCGTCACCAACCTCTAACCCCGATCTCTTCTGGGCCCTACGAGGCGCCGGCGCCGCCTTCGGCATCGTCACCGACTTCAAGTTCAAAACGTTTGACGCCCCCGAAAGCAACCTTGTATTCTCCTACAACCTCTCCCCGTCCAACACATCGCAACTCGCCAACATCCTGACTGTCCTCCAAAACTTCACCATCCACGACCAACCCCCGGAGCTAAACATGCGCATGTTCCTCCCCAACCAACTAACCGGCGTATACTACGGCAACCGCAGCGCCTTCGACACCATCATGAACCCGCTGCTCACCAAACTCAACATCCCCCTTGAGGGACGCGGCGCAGGTACCGTTTCAACGAAGAAATGGATCGACACTTTGACGTCCTTTTCTAACGGCCCGCTTCCCCAGCCAGAGATATACGACTACCACGAGAACTTCTACGCCAAGTCACTGATGCCGGAGTACCTCTCCCCCGCTGCCATGACCGCCCTCGCAGACTACTACTTCACCACCGCGCGAAACATCCGTGGCCGATCCTGGTACCTCCTCATCGACATGCACGGCGGCTCCGGCTCCGCCATCTCCAAAGTACCCGCGGACGAGACCTCCTACTCGCACCGCAACGCCGTCTTCAAGATGCAATTCAACGACCGCATTTTCCCTGATTCCGCGACGTACACGCCTAAGATGATGGAGTTCTTGAATGGCTGGGTCGATGCGATTGAGAAGGCAAGTGAGGGCGAGCAGTTTGGCATGTACATCAACTATGCGGATACGAACCTTACCAAGGCGGATGCGCATTCCAGGTATTGGGGGGAGCATTATGAGAGGTTGGTGGGCATCAAGGGGGTGTATGATCCGCAGAAGGTGTTTGAGGGACCGCAGTTGGTGGGTAGCTAGATCTTTTAGTTGTAGGGGATAGACTTTTGAACTGAATGCGAGAGACATGTGAACATGAGAATGATTGAGAAAGAAGTGATCTGCTTGCTCGAGAAGAAAGTCTATACGGCCTACAAATACACATTTACACGCCTGGATCCGTGTCTACAAGAACTCGATGCCGACGCCGAAGCTCAGTCCTTTCCTGCCTTCCTCCTTGGCCCTCATGACGAGTGGAAGAGAGAAGTTGATCTCGAACCTCGCAACAGGGTGTGCGT